AGATGTTTGACGTACTTGAAAACGTTGATGATTGAGATTTAGCTTCGTTGTCCATTGAATTTCCTTAAAAACACTTATTCTAAACTTTTTTTTTTTTTTGTAGAAGTCACCCCAAGAAAAAATTATATTAGGCCAAATATGTATTTCTAGAACCGAAAAAATCAACCCCCCATAAGGATGATATAGCTAGGTTTGTTTTTATAATTAGGTTGTTTTAGAAATGATTCGAACCTGAAACCTTTAATTTCAAAACTAGTAGTATTATTACGTTACATAATTTATTTTAAATAATAAATGAATAGCACATCTTACATTCATGAGGTTTGGAGATTAGAAGTCATTGAGAGGAGAAAGGGAGAGTAAGGTTGAGGTAGAAGACAACATGAATATACCCAACAACTAGCAACCCAAATGGAGGAGTTCATGTGAGAACTCCGAAATTAAACGTGCTCAGTGTGGAGTACAACAAGGATGGGTGACCTTATGGGAAGTCAACCTTGAATTGCACCCCAAATCAAAAACCGTGAGGGTCGAAGCCCAAAGCGGACAATATCTTGCTTGGGAAAAGGTTCGGGTTGTAACAACTGGTATCAGAGCCTCTCCGCGTTCCTCTTGAACGATGGTGGGCAAACCTCAACGAGTGCGTAAGAAACCGACCTTAACTGAAAATACTCATTTTGGGGTGAAATGGAGGAGTTCCTGGGAGAAATCTGAAGTTAAACGCTCGTTGTGAAGTACAACAAAGATGAGTGACCTTATGGGAAGTCACCTTGAATTGCACCCCAAATCGAAAATCGTGAGGATCAAGGCCCAAATTGGATAATATCTTGCTCCCGAAAAGGTTCGGAATGTTACAATAATCTCAATCCTGATATAATAATTAAGATACATTTTGCAATGAGTATCATCAAATAACTTTTATCTTACTGGTTCAAAAATTTACACTATAATAATATGCACCTTGCAGGTTGTATGTTCGAATTCTAGTAATCATTATTTATGTGTTTGCTTATTTTTAATAAGTAATGAATTAAAAATAATAAAATAATAAAAGTGACGTGGAAAATACCGGCAGACATGCATGGTCGTGAGTTTATAAAATTTGAGATAGTGAAGTCTAATTTGAGAAAATGTACAATATATTGTATAGATTGATAGTAAACTAGATTGTAATTTTTTTTTGGTTGAGATGCTTGCCGTACTTGAAAACGTTGAAGATTGAGATTTAGCTTCGTTGTCCATTGGATTTCCTTAAAAATACTTATTCTTTTTTTTTTTTTTTTTTTGTAGAAGTCACCCCAAGACGAAATTATATTAGGCCAAATATGTATTTCTATAACCGAAAAATCTAGAGAGCTACGTTAAATAACCCCCCCCCCCCCCCCCCCCCCCCCACACCCCACCCCACCCCATAAGGATGATATAGCTAAGTTTGTTTTTATAGTTAGGGTGTTATAGAAATGATTCGAATATGAAACCTGCAATTTCAAAACTAGTGGGTATTACCACACGTTATATAATTTTTTTTTTAATAATGAATGAATAGCACATCCTACATCCATGAGGTTTGGAGATTGGAAGTCATATTGAGAGGAGAAAGGGAGAGTAAGGTTGAAGTAGAAGACAACATGAATATAGCCAACAGCTAGCAGGCAACAAAAAACAACATCAACATTGTCACACACACAAAAAAAAGTAGTGAAAAAGAAACCTCAACAAGAGCTAAAGCCTTAATACTTCCTAGGTGTGTGTACATAAACACTGCACACCATGGCATCCAATATAAAGTAATCATTAACACAAAATGGAAGGAATGGAAGGGAACACAGCCACTCAATTACAAGGACCATTCCAAAGAGAGAAACAGTTTTTAATGGGAGACATATGATCTGTTTCTTGGGGAGATAGAGACACATATATATGCATGGGGAATAAGGACTACATAGCTAGGGATCTAGAGAGCATAATTACTGAGGGAATGTATATATTTACATGAACTGAGGTAGACAGGCCCAGTTGGTGTCCTATGTAGCTAGTATAGGAAAACATGGAATGCTGCAGGTGGGAAGGAATATAAATTGGGGAACAAAAACTGGTCAAATAAATCAAAGGTTGAATAAAAAGAAGGGAAAGAGGGTAATTGGTTGGGGGATGCATGAAAGCAAAGCAAGCATGCCCTAGGGTTTAGAGAAGGAGGAAGTATGGGACATTGGAAAAGGAAAGAGAATCATGATGATCATTTGTGTGCACTTTAGTAGGCATTTGTTGTTTTTGTTTAGATCAAGTACCCTTAATTTAGTAGTAGTAATGATACCGTGTTAGCTTTAATTAGCAGCTGTTCTACCTGTGTCTACTGTGTTATCAATATCCTAAAATAGTTATTTTTTCGCGTTTTCAATATTGTTGTAGCGACGTATTGGTATTTAAGAAAAAAATAACACAAGATGTGAGTATGGACAGGACCAACATTATCGAAAGCATCTTCTATTTCGTAGTAATTCAGTATATTAGTCCTTAGGATTTCCTTTGTTGTCGAGTTAGAGAATCGATAGGGTTAGAAATCTTCAATTTATTAGTTGCAGGACAATCAGTAGTTTACGAAATATATATGTGTGTTCTCCGGCATTAGTCGATTTTCAATGAATAAACTCGGTAGTAATTCAATATCATTAATTTATCGTAATGCTAAGAATAAACAGTAACGTAACTGCAACTCGTTCTCAATGTTAAAAAGAACCTCTCGCACTCGATAGTTTTGAACCACGTTATCTCAAAATCTAGAGTTCTGAGATGGAGATATCCATCAACAAACTCACTTAATCTACAACTAATGAACATAGCGGTTAAGGTTGTAGCTACGTTAGGGGGAGGAGAAGGGCAAACGAATATGGTGGTGGGTGTGGTGGTGGTGATGGCGGTGATGATGATGACAATGCACGCCGGCCGGCAGCTTTTTCATACACAGAGCAAAGACTCTTTCTTTCTTTTCTTTCTGTATACACAAAGTCCCAATTCCAATTGGCACGCCTGCTCCCACTACCACTAAGGCACCACCCTTGCCTCTATTACCCAAAAACAAAACACACATTTCTCTCACTCCCTCACTTTCTGTCCCTTGTCTGTGGTGAATGGCAGAACCAAAGCCAGAAAGAAAGAAAGCAAGAATGGAAAAGCTATTTCCCCCATCCCCCCCACTACTTCTGCTACTACAGAAAATAAAACCCAATTTGGTGATTTTGGTGTCAGATTATAGCTAAGAGGCAACGATGTTATTCATCTCCAACCCTCTGCCTGCCCGCCACTCCACAGTCCCACTACCCGGCCGGCCACCCTTTTTAACCAATCTCCATATCTACAAAATTAACCTAGTGATGGGGATTTCTGGTTTGATCCGTTCGACCCGAACTGTTCGATTTGTTTGGGGCGGTATTAGTCGACCTGCTGTAGAGTGGGGCGGGACATGAGTATTAAGTTCGATCTGTGTCTCATTCCGTCCCGCCCCGTTCTCGCCCCGTCCTATCATGATTTGTTATCAATCCATACATGTATTTCTTCTATTTTTAACCATTCTAAATCATATTTTTATCCAAAAATTCGAAGTCTCTATCTGTCAACTATTTAGACTCAATTATTCCTTTTACTAATACCTCTTATTCATTTATGCAATGTTTTCTCGATGTTTTCGTATAAAAGAGTAAAACATCAACGGTCTTTTTTTAAATAACGTATAAAAGTGGGTCGCCTCGCCCCCGTACTAGAGATTGTAATACTTGAGCTGATTTCCACATAGTACAGAGCATGTATATGAATTGAGGTACCTGCCCCATCCCACTCCACCTGATTGCCATCAGTTATCAACCGCCTTCATAATTAAACACATTTGGGCTTATGCTTCAAAATTACTTTTAATCTGGAAAAAAAAATTGTACAGCACCACTACCTCATAGCATTAATCCATGAGCGTCTAGAAATTTCCCAATATCACACAATTTTTTTTTTTGGAGTTCTAAATCTCCTTAAAAATCATTCGTTATTTATAAACCAACGACATTGACAAGCAACCCTTTTCATGGAATTTATTATTATTGTGCACATAAAAAACAAGGAGTTTATTATACTAATTTAATCATATTCCCAATTTAATTTCATTTAGGGTCGTGATTAAATTAGTGTGATGACCTATGCTGATATTGATATCTCCTTTATTCAATACTCCATGGATCTTTAGCAATACCTCACAACTTGCATATCCATTTTGACTTCTTCTTCTTCTTCTTCCATCTATTTCTCCCCCATCAGTCTTATCATATATTTCTCTATTTACTTTTTACTACTGTTCTCCCAGTTATTTGTACCTTGAGGAGGGGGCTACCATGAGAAGTGCAAAGTTTCCTTTATTAAAGACTCCTCTGACTCTCAAGTCTCCACCATCCTTTCTCCCAATCAAAACCCTCCTCCTCCTCCTCCTCTCTCTCTCTATATCTCCCTCCCATTAGATCATGATCTTTGTCTTTCTTTCTTTCTTTCTTTCTTTCTTTTCTCACTTCCTAACCTAATCTAATCTAATCATCCCCTATTATCTTATCTAACAACAAAGAGCCAGAGATCATTCCCTGGAGTGGAGCAAAACAAAGCCCTTTTATCACCCCAAATATCATCATCCCCAAAGGCCAAATCCCAAGCCATCTATCTTGAAAGAAAAGCATCCCATCCCACCACCTTCTTTTCCCCACACCCCATCTCCCCCTCTTTAAAAAAAAAACCCTAACGCCCATTCTTCCTCCAACCCAACAACCCCTCCATTCCAAAGCCAAAAGCCCACAAAAGGCCTCCTTTCTTTTCACATAATTATATTCCCCCCTCTCTACCCTCTTCCTCCTCCTCTCCTCCTCAACCCAAAACTCCCCTCATCACATTTTCATGTGGGTCTCTCTTCTTCTCCCCTTTCCTTAGTTTTTAATATTCACCACTTCTTAACCCACCAAAAAAAAATAAGTCATATGGATACCTTGTTCAGATTAGTCAGTCTCCAACAATACCACCACCACCATCATCAGGAGGAGGAGGAGCTGCAAGAATTCCAGCAATCCGATCACTCTTTCAACTCAGCCAGCTTAACCACTTCCACCAGCTCCCACTCCCACTCCAATTCCGCCCCACCACCACCACAACAATACCACCACCACCCTAATTCCTTCTACCAAACCCACCAATCCGACGTCGCACAAGAATGCTTCAACATCTTCATGGATGAAGACGACTTCTCCTCCTCCTCCTCCAAACACACCCCCAACCCCAACCCCACTAATTACTATCCTACCCCTACCCCTACCCCGGACTTCTACCCTCCGCCGCCGCCGCCGGCCCAACACCTCGCGCCCCAGCAGGAGTTCGACTTCACCAGGCCATGGGCCTCCGACGTCCTCCTCGAGGCCGCCCGGGCCGCGGCCCAACACGACACCACCCGCCTCCAGCACCTGATGTGGATCCTCAACGAGCTAGCCTCCCCATACGGCGACGCCGACCAGAAGCTGGCCTCTTACTTCCTCCAGGCCCTATTCGCCCGCATGACCGAGTCCGGCCCAAGATCCCTCCGCAGCCTCTCCGCCGCCTCCGACCGCTCCTGCTCCTTCGACTCCACCCGCAAGCTCCTCCTCCGCTTCCAGGACGCCAGCCCCTGGACCACCTTCGGACACGTGGCGGCCAACGGCGCCATCCTCGAGGCACTCGACGGCAACCCCAGGATCCACATCGTTGACTTGAGCAGCACGTTTTGCACCCAGTGGCCCACGCTGCTGGAGTCCCTCGCCACCCGCTCCGACGACGCGCCCCACCTCCGCCTCACCACCGTCCTCGGCGGAGCTTCCTCCTCCTCCCGGGTCATGAAGGAGATCGGCGGCCGGATGGAGAAGTTCGCCAGGCTGATGGGGGTGCCGTTCAAGTTCAACGTCGTCCACCACTCCGGCGACATGTCGGCCCTCGATTTCGATGGTTTGGGGGTGGAGGACGGCGAGGCGCTGGCGATCAACTGCGTCGGGTCCTTGCACTCCGTGTCGCCGGCGGCAAGCCGGCGGGAGTACGTGGTGTCGAGGTTCCGGCAGCTGCGGCCGAGGGTCGTGACGGTGGTGGAGGAGGAGGCGGACCTCGACGCCGGGGATTTCGTCCGGGGGTTCGAGGAGTGCCTGCGGTGGTTTAGGGTTTACTTCGAGTGTCTGGAGGAGAGCTTTCCCAAGACGAGCAACGAGCGGCTGATGCTGGAGAGAGGGGCCGGGAGGGCGATTCTGGACCTGGTGGCGTGCCCGGCGGCGGAGTCGACGGAGCGGAGGGAGACGGCGGAGAGGTGGTCGGGGAGGTTGAGAGGGAGTGGGTTTTGTCCGGTCGGGTTCAGCGAGGAGGTGAGCGACGACGTGAAGGCGTTGCTGAGGAGGTACAAGGAAGGTTGGTCGATGCGGCAGAACGGCGGCGGCGGGGAGGGCGCCGGGATGTTCTTGTGCTGGAAGGAGCAGCCGGTGGTTTGGGCGAGTGCATGGAGACCGATTGATGATTGATTTTATTTTCCGGCGGTTGCTAAATTGGCGCGTGCGGCGTGTTTTTGCTCGCGCGTGGGGGAATTTATTAGTCGTCAATATTTGGATAGGTGTTTTGGTTTGATTTAATTTGTTGAAACTGGAGTTAAACTTGATCCTCGATTAAATGTTTTGGGTTTAAATTAACTATTGGGAAGCAATCAAAAGATATATATTATTCGCCACGCTACTGGCAATGAGAAATTTTACAATGCTATATAGTATTGGTGCTATAAGATTTTGCCTTTATGGTACAACTTAAAATTGTACATTTACGTTATGGTACAACTTCAGATTGTACCTGTACTTTTTGTACAAATTCTTTTGTGGTGCAACTTAAACTTGTACCTTTATATGATGGTACAACTTCAAGTTGTAAAGTTGTACCATAACATAATGATACAAATTACTTTATGATACAACCTAAACTTATACATTTAATGTTATGGTACAACTTTAAGTTGTACATTAAAGCACCAATACTATATAGCATAGTAGAAGTGCTCACTGAAAATATTGTTATCATTTGTGATCTCTTATTAAAGTAGTTAGGGTAAACAAGAAGAATTCCATATGCCTTGTTCAATTTGTTTTCGCCGTTTTCGGTTCACATGGAATTGTACAAAAATGCCACCATAACTTTACTGCTTCTCGCCTTATTTATTATAGCGTTCCTAGTAGGGGTGTTCAAACGGTTACCATGGTTATTACCAAATCAAATAAGGCTAAATTTCATTAATCATGAAATACAATATTATAACCAAACCATCTAAACTAATACAACAACCAAATTAACCAAACTAAAGTTTAATCGATTTGATTAATTGGTTAACCAGATTAACCAATATAAAATCATATTATCATTAAGTGAGAAAATTTTCTGTTAATTCATCAATTCACAATTTATATAATGAATAAAACATAACAATCAACACTTAGTTATAGTTGACCCTTAACATAAATACATGCAACTAAGACAATTATCTTACGGTTAGTATATAAGTATTCACCTAACAAAAATTTATCACAATGGTATGGGTTAATGAATTGTTGTGTTTGTTTGAATTGACTTAGTTTTTTAGCAATTTTCATAGGCTGAAAAGGACCTTGCTTTCAAGTTTTCATCCAACACAATGTATGAGATTTATCTAAATTAGGCGTTCATATGTTGTGGTCTACACTCTACATATACAAATATACATTATAGGAACAATATCAAGCTTTATATTTTATGAGTCTAAAAGAATGAACGTTTAACTCTTGAGTGGTTATTCAAAATATTAAAGTATGTGTATATATTAGATATATGACTAATTATTTATCTGGTTAATTTGGTTTGGCTGGTTAGGAGTGTCTGAAACCAAACGAAACCACCTAAACCAAACAAGATAGAAACTTTAACCAAAGCAAACCAATTATCCAAATTAACAAAACCAAATTATCCAAATAGTACTGGTTAAAACGGTTACCATGGTAACCACACCGTTTGAACACCCCTAGTTCCAAGTGGCAAAAACTCGTGGGTTATCATGATTTCTTTGGATAATACAGTTTTACTCCATTTGATAAGACATAATATTTTTTGTTATAGATAATTATGGTACACGAAGTAATCAAACGTGACAATATACAACATTCGAAGTGCCTATGAAAGGACCTTAGTAGCCACTAGATGAGCAGTCCTGTTGTACGACGCAGGTGCAAAAGGACAATAAAATATGCAAAAGATGATGAAGTTGTTTTCCCGGCAGGAAAATCTAGATGGAACAGAATTGAGAATTGCACCTTTGACTTTCAAACAAACGATTGAACAACACGGTTCACACCTCTTTGAACAAAGTTCAAACAAGGGTGTTCAATGTTCTTGGTGAATTATAAGGCAAACTAAATTACATTAATTCTACTCCTATGAAGGTTTAGTGAGAGCTCCGAAACTACAACTATGGCTATGACTATATTTGCAGGGGAAAATGTAAAGATAAAAGGATAAAATTTGACAATAGGTTGTCTGGTGTGATTTTGGTGAACCGCTCTGCTGACGTGGAGTGACAGTTAATCTCTTCAACTGCTCCATTGATGCACTCACGATGGTAGTGCCCTCCTCTTGAGACTTCAGTCCTTGCTCTTGGTATCTTCTTCATAGCTTTGCTTGTCTGCAGAGAAAAATGACTAAGGCATGAAAAGGGTAACCCATTGCCACTTGACTCCCCCTTGCATGATCACCTCATGGGACGTACGTTGGTGACCCCCCTGACCACATCATGGAAGTGTAAGTTGATCACCACCCTCTGATCACTTCACGGGGGCGTTCCTTGCCTTGGCCAAATTTGGCCAACCATCTCCAAACTTTAGCCAAATTTCACCCAAGATGATCGCCCCCTGACTACCTCATGGGGGTGTATGTTGATCCCAGCCCCTAATCCTACTATGGGGGCGTGTGTTGATGGTCACCCCCTTGACCACACCATGGGGGAGGCTTCTTGCCATCCTTATTATCTTCCATACCTAGCCAAATTTCTACCCCACCTTATCACATCCCACCATCCAACTTCACCATATTACCCTCCTGTTATCCTAGGGAGGTTGTGCTGGCTACTCCATGACCACGCCATGGGGTGTGGTCGATGACCCCCTATCGTACGATGATCACCTCCTCTCCACCTCCACGTCATTAGGGTGGACGGATGGTGGCCACCCACCTTGGCACCTCTTGGGGGTGGCGGTATGATGGTCATCCCCCTTGGCACCTCCTGAGGGTGGCAGTATGGTGCCCACGTCATGGGGTGGACGGATGGTGGCCACCCCCTCGACACCTCTTGGGGGTGGCGGTATGATGGTCAACCCCCCCCCCTTGGCACCTCCTGGGGGTGGCGGTATGGTGCCCACCCCCTTACCAAGTCATGGTGGTGGACAGATGGTGGCCACCCCCATTGGCACCTCCTAGATGTGGCGATATGGTGGACATCCCCCTCAGAACCTCCATGGGGCTCCTGGGGTGGCGGTATGGTGTCCACCCACCATACCACGTCATGGAGGTGGCAATATGGTACACACCCCGTTACCACGTCATCGGGGTGGCAGTATGTGGCCACCCCCTTGACAAATCATAGGGTGACTCCAACACTTAAAAAAATTTGGGGATGTATAGCACGCGTGATGGCACGGAGTAATGTGCCCAAAAACGTCATCCTCATGGCCCACTCAACTGATTTAAACTGTTATAATCAAGTTGGCCTTATAAAGCCTTTCAATTCCTTGTTTTTAATCGATATGGTACAAGTTAAATTTTGGTGTAAACAGAAGCCAAGATAATTTACTCTAGATCATGAGTCACGTCTCCCTCGACCACTCGTCAGACCAACCACCATAATGCAACAAGCCACCCATTATGAATCCCCACAAAACGAAATCACCAAAAGGCCATGAAGAGATGCAAACTATAGATTATTAATTTTATCTAAGTGAGAAAAAACGCAAAATACTTTCTCTACAAAATTGATCGATGAATGAAAGACTTTATACATGTACCAGTACTACACACCTTCATAGCTAGGTGACAAATTGGCGGGAGGTGTATGAATTGATGTAGTATTACTAATTTGTGAGTAATTTATTATAAATGTTAGTCAAATTGCCTAATTACACACTCATTCGTCACCCACCCAACCCAGTTCGAAATAGTGTGAAGTTTGATTACAGGTCGCAAGTATACCAACTCGTTAGTAAGCGGGTGTGTCAATTTAAAACCGAAATCCACCCAACCCACCCATTATCAACCGCTGCCGCATGTACACTTTAAGTATAAGATAAACAATTAATTTCCGTATTAATCAACCAATTAAGGTGGGGTTGGTGGTAGCATATTTGGTAAAATGATGACATGATGATATCATCAAGTTAGTTGCGGCCGGCAGATACTTCAATTTTCTTCATATGAAAAGATGCTGCAAACGGTGGGATAATATGAGCTAATAAGATAGAACAATAACAGTGAAGCATACTTTCATCTTATAATTGTGAATTTTGGCTACCACATAAAACCATCATGAAAGATAAATTAAGTTAAAAGATAAGTTCCATTTGAAAGTTAATTACAAAAAGGCCTGATATCGGAAACAAAGGCCACGAGAGAAGTTGCATAAACATTGGGAAGAATTGTAAAACTACTTGAAAATGTCTTTGCAAGAATTAAAGAGAAAATGCCAACATCTTGATTGATTGGGTAAGATTTTTCTCATCGGTGCCAGGACATCTTATTTCTAGCGAGTATTTTGGGCATTTGGACATTATATCAAGTGATTCAAGAAATGTTCGAGAGTCGTGATTGTTGATGAGACCTTTCTCAACGGATAGTATAAAGGAGTGCTACTCATTACAAAATCATTTGATGGAAAGAAAAAGGGTAGTTTGGATGAGTTATAGTTATGAGTTATTTGGTACCAAATAACTAGTTTGTGTGCAAAAGTTTGTGATGGATTATTCGTACCGAGTTATAATGAAATAACTCAATAATAAGTTATTGAGAATACCATATGAGAGGCAGATATTCTGAAATAACTCACAAATACCACATAATCATTTTGTGAGTTTTTTCATCATTATAATAACTCATTACCCAATAACTCATCCAAACGACCCCAAAAGATAATTCCAATTCCATTCATTATAGTTGGTCATGATTCATGAGATATATCCAAGTTTCGACGGATCGAAATTATATTTTCACAATCTCTAATCAATATGTGGGACTCTTTGAAACAATGAGAGACAATGAAAGAGTTTGGGAGTGGAGGTGTTAAATGTGACACTATGCAAGCAAGTTGTAAAATAAGAATAAAAGAAAGATTATGTATAATGAACTATATAGAACTAGTAAATATCACAGATCAAGGTATAGAATATCTCTAATAATGAGATATTTGATATCTCTAAATTTTAAAGATATGAAAATTTGCAGGCTTAAATCTATAAAAAAACAGCAA